TGAGTTTACGAAATGAAATTCCCGGCAACTGCGCTAAGGGAGTTTCTTTTGTAAAATTCCGCAAGTGCGTTTGGTGCGTAATATTTTCTTTTGTTTTTTCTGAAATAGTTAATAGCATAGATCTGCGTTGAAAAAGCAGGTGGGTTATTCGAATAATAATATACTAGAATAAATGACCCGATGTTATCGTCAAAATAATGGTAGGTCCTTTGCGATAATTTGTACCTGCTGTTGCAAAATCTCATCAGAATTCAAAACTTTAAAAAATATAATATCTAAGTTTCTAAATTCATTAAATTTTGTGAAGTATTTATGTGCTATATATTATACGCCTACCCAACTCCTTTTCACGATCCTAAACTACCCCCCCCCCTTTTTTTTTTTAAACATGATCTTAAATTACCCAATCTAAATTATCTCTAATTACATAACTTTTGTCACTAAAGAAATTAACTGAGGGGCGATTTCTACGCTAGGGAAATACTTTAGATTTAACCCTTTTTGTGCCATTGAATTACAACTTTTTTTCTCTAAAAATGTTCAAAAACTTCTAAAATTTACAAATTTGAAGACACTTGCATTTAAAAAAAAATTATACATTATCATAAAATCATAAAACAAATAATTCTTTTATCGACAGAAGAATCTCGAAATCGTTTTTCACGTCTATAAGAGACTTGTGAGTCTTTTTTAAATTGTTAATCTCATAATAACTCACTCCCACTTTACATTTCACAAAAAAATTAAAATAATTTTTTTTTTTGAAAGAAATTATTAACCCATCTCCATTTTTTCAAAATGAAATTTTCAAGCGTGTGAAATGTTTGGGTTTTGATACTCATGGGTATACTTATAAAAATGTAACCACCTTTTGATGACGTCATCGGTAGACCATATAAATGTACCCACCTTTTGATGACGTCATGGGTAGACCTATATAAATGTACCCACCTTTTGATGACATCATGTGTAGACCTATATAAATGTACCCACCTTTTGATGACGTTATGGGTAGACCTATATAAATGTACCCACCTTTTGATGACGTCATGGGTATACTTATATAAATAGATCTACCCACGTCTTTTTAACGCCATTGATTTTCTTAATTGGTTAACATATGTTTATTGGTAAAAAGAAAATGAAACATCTCTTTTTTGTTTACAAATGTAGTACCATAGGATTTAGATATATTGTCATCCATGTCAAAATGTACACATTCTATTTTCAACCTCTGATATGTATGCACCCAAGAAGGATATTTATTTATCAAAATCATTCTTTTATTTTGAGACGTATCTTGTGCTGCCTGGATCAAAATGACCAACCCTCCAATCAAGATGTTTATTAAAATTAATACAATCTTCCACCGCGGATTGTAATCCCTTCCATACCCAAACTAACATATTTTGAACTTCATATGGTTGGTTCTTATTTGGATGAGTTATATGTGGATTAGTGAATGTTATTTGGATGAGTTATATGTGGATTAGTGAATGTTATTTGGCTTTGGAGTTCGACTGCACCGACTGACTTAACCAGCATTTTCTTGTTAGTAATCTATTGAAAGGTTAGTTTTTATTACGTTATAAATTTAATAAAAGTGTATTTTTGCAATTAATAAAATAAACAATTTTTAAATGTTAAAAATACGAAGCTAAAATTGTGTGTGTCCTATTAACAATTTAAAAAGCAATCAATTATATTTATAAGTTTTAATTTAAGAAGGGTAAATACTGTATCACTTTTGTCATGCTTGGTTATTAGACCAAAGAAACCCAAGAGTTTTGGCTAAATAGAAAATTCGCACTATGACGTCATTTGCTTGATTATTTAAAACAAATTAATCCTAATTTTATTTCGCATTATTAACAACGCGCTAAAAGACGCACTAAAAACAACTGATATTTGGGTTTTCCCGATCAATGTGTTTACAGTGTAATTCTTTGATCATGATGTGTTTATTTTATTTATTTTTTCATAACTTTCAAACACTTATAACATGCTTAAAATAGTGTCTTAGTTGATACATTCAATGTATTGGACATTTATAAAAATACTACTTAAAAGTTTAATCACATAAAAGCGGGTATAAAATAGTGTCTTAGTTGATACATTCAATGTATTGGACATTTATAAAAATACTACTTAAAAGTTTAATCACATAAAAGCAGGTATAAAATAGTGTCTTAGTTGATACATTCAATGTATTGGACATGTATAAAAATACTACTTAAAAGTTTAATCACATAAAAGCGGGTATAAAATAGTGTCTTAGTTGATACATTCAATGTATTGGACATTTATAAAAATACTACTTAAAAGTTTAATCACATAAAAGCAGGTATAAAATAGTGTCTTAGTTGATACATTCAATGTATTGGACATGTATAAAAATACTACTTAAAAGTTTAATCACATAAAAGCGGGTATAAAATAGTGTTTGCCCATTTCAGTTGAAGGCGATTTCCGCAAAATAATAGAAAATAACTATGATGTTTTTAATAATCCGAACATACTTAAATCATATCGTTTCTTTGGCGTTATGTCCCTAGAGCTCATTCTTATATATAGTTTAGGGGCGTGAGCAAATAAGAGGTTGCGAGCCTTGGCGGGGAGGGGGAGCACTAATTGGGATTCCTATAAGTTCGATAATGGTAAGCCTGTTTTGTCCAATTTTCAGCCCCACCCCACATTCCTCCAGATGACATTTTAGGAAGGATTTATAGGAACAGCTTTGTGTTTAAGGGTTGTTATGTGTGTGTGTGTACAGTGACAGTGCTGTACATTAATAGACTTTTTTTTCTGTATATTTGATTTTGTTATGTTTATATACATTTAATTGTATAATTAAATTGAATATTGCTAATATCACTAGATTTATATATTTTGTCTTTGTATATTGGCTTTCTGTCCCTTGTAAACTAGCTTTCAGTCCTTTTCCCACCAAACAAGCCCATTCTTGAGGTAGATTTAAGTTACACAAACATTAAAGCGTAACAGGACATTTCAGGCGGGACCTGGGGGGGGGGGGGGGGTTGGCATCTATCAACTTGTCATACATGCACTCACTGTGGCTAGGGCGAGCCCCGGGGCATTCTTTTGGTCCCAATTTAGTGTCGCCCCCAACGTGCTGTCACAATGATCGGCATGGGGAAGGGGTGAGCCAGCAATCGAGGGCGCCCAAATATGGAGGAGTGGTGGGGAGGGGGTCCCTCAGTCCTTATCCAGAAATGTTTTGATACATTACAATGCAGTGATGCATTGTGGTACGTACTTAAATTTAGTTTTGCATCATTCTGCACTTAATCGGAGGGCAACAAAATTGAAGTGTCCTTGACCTTGTTTAATACTAGAGCTAAAGTTATTACTAAATAGTTGTGTTGTTTATTAATATCTTTATTTAACAATTTATTTCGTTATACTCTTTCATTTTTTAAATAAAGTTTAAAAAATAAATATTTCCTGTCTCAAAGATGGCCGTCACAAAAGGCTTGCTTACTCATGACGTAACTAAATAGTTTCAAGTTTTGGCAGCTACAAAAGGAGAACAAAACAATGTTTGGTCAAACCGGTTAAATGACAACTTTTATAAATTGCTTATAAATTGCAAAAAATATATCAAGTCTAAAAATCCTTTGATGAAGCTTAACAATATTTAAATTTAAATTTATATTCCATTTGATCCCTGCAGGAAACTACATCAAAGTGATCCGACCCTGGCAACGTGTTGTTCATCTCCTACGCCAGGCCTATCCATAGCAACCTTACAGCTTTCTTCTACTAACGGGACCACACATCTAGACGGACACAGTTTCCTACCGTCATATTAAGGACTCGGTCCTAACAGGATGTTCTAGTGACGGGCTTAACATGGAGATGACAACACCTTGACCCTAACATTTCACAGAGGGGAAGTTTTGGTCTTTCTTTGTGTGGGCCACAAAAATCCACAAAAATGGAGGCCACGATTAGTCCATACTATATCAATAATTCTTTTACACACGGAATTAACGCACAGCTGGATGTTCTATTAGGAGAACAAGATGGCGACTTTGCCAACAGGGGACGTCATTCAGTGGAAGAGTACAATCACATGATACGGCAACAAAATCACCAAACTACACAACTACATCATGAACAACTACAGCAACAACATGGGCAACTGCCCCACCGACATGGGCAACTGCCCCACAGTTTGTATTCATCTTGCGCTTTGTCTTCCAGCCCAGGCTCTGGTTCACTGGACCACCAGACCACAGCTTTATTTCCTCGGTTTCCTCCCTTCGACCGATTGGACATGGCGGCCATTACTTCCTGCGCTTCATCAACTCCTCACCAACCACAATCTGCCCCGCAGCAACGTTATGTCCGGCACCACAATGCACGGCACGTAGAGCCCTTACAGCACCTTTCGCACCATCAGCTGCCAACGTTGCACCATCTAGGCCACCAGCAGCAACGTCTACACCAATACCACTCACCACCATCACTGGTTGACTCGTCCGTGAGTCACGTGTCACGAAAAGGTCATTCGACCGCCGGGGATGTTGTGTACGAAAGTATCTTAACATCGCTTCCCTCCCGGGCCGGCCGTGACCAGGCTTCTAGTCTTAATGAGAACAACCGTGGGGCGGTGGCCCCCCTCCCCTTGGCTGACACAGGTCCCAAATTTACAACCTGCATGCTTGACATTGCCCTCCATAAATCGCCGTCTTCAGACAGCACGCAGCGGCGTTCTCAGGTCCCGGCTCTTGCGGCTAATTCAAAGTCAGAGGGGATTGGATTAAAGCCAGCGCTGACTCGATCTGGAGCTGCCGACCGGTCATCAGGGTCGACAAACTGGGGGGAAGGTCCAGCCGATCGTAGCAGGACTGAGAAAAAATGTGGGACGGACGCGGTGGTCGCTGCTGGTGGTGTGAACCGAACGCCGGGGGAAGTATCGATCCTGGGACAGGTCAGCGGTGACGAATGTCAAAACTCAACGGTTGGTGTGGTATCGAATCGTTACGCGGAAACTCGAGTCGCGATGGCAAGGACGATACCGTTAAATACTGGAAGTTATGGAGCTAATTATAGTCCTACTGGTGGGATCCCACGCCATGATAGTCAGTGTTTACTTACAGGCGGCCGTCAACGTGGGACAGAGAAACGTAGGACTGATGGAAAGGAAGGACCGGATAAGCCAACAAGCCTTTCATCACCGACCAGAGACAACGGGGTGCAGAGTTTACCATATCGTGACCTCAGGAACACTGGGGAGGCGCTCAACAAGGCCAAGGAAAATCTGGTCGTAAAAAAAAGACCGGATGCTGTGAAAATGGACGTGGGCGGGGAGCCTGGTGTCTGCGGTGGCCAAGTCGGAAGAGATGGGGTGGGGAGTGGTCACGTCGGTAGAGATAGTGTGGGGAGCGGTCAAGTCGGTACCGGCAGTGTGGGGAGTGGAAACGAGTCTTCCAGCTCAAGTGGAGGAGACGAAGTGGTGGCAGATGTGAAAGAAGAGGATGATGGAGAGAAAGGTTTACCATTGTATCCATGGATGAGGAGTCAATATGGTAAGCAGTGGCACAATCACGGGCGTAATCAGGGGCGTAATAAGGGGCGTATGCAGGGGCGTGCAAGGATACTTGTTTTGTTTGAGTACAAAGTTGGTAATAATACGCAACTGATGGTGCACCATAGACTACGCATGACATATGGTGCACTACAATATAAACATGGCATATGGTGCACTACAGTTGCCAATGACATTTTTTGCACTACTACAGTCTGCACTTGACATATGGTGCACTGCAATCTACACATGTCATATCGTGCACTACAGTCGACCTATGGCATATAATGCACTTCAATCTACACATGACATTTATGGTGCACTTCAGTCGACACATAACAAATATTGCACAATCTATGCACAGAACGAAAGCTGTATTTTTTTTTCTTTTTTGTTCTCTAACTAATGATAAAATAAAATCCACAGATTTGAAGCAACAAAAAAAAAAAAAAACTAGTCCAAGGGATACAACTGGAAATATATTTTTGTATCTAAATATTGCACAATCTATGAAAAGAACGAAAGCTTTATTTTTTTTTTCTTTTTTGTTCTCTAACTAATGATAAAATAAAATCCACAGATTTGAAGCAACAAAAAAAAAAAAAAACTAGTCCAAGGGATACAACTGGAAATATATTTTTGTATCCCCTTTTTTAAAAAAAATGATTCTTGTTCATCTCTGTGAAATATTCATTTTTCCAATCAAATTAAAACAATTTTTATTTTTTAAGTTAAAAAAAATAGTATACAGTGAAAAGGAGTTAAATAGTATTAACTTGAACAATTGACTAATTAAAGATCTCACATAACTTGAATTTAACCTCATGGGACATTTAGAGCTTTGTTTAAGAGCTAATTTGTGAAGTGGTGGAGATCTACATTGGTTATACTGACAAGGTTCTGGGAGATGTCTAAGGTGTCTGACCAGGCGAGTTTCTAGGAGATGTCTAATGTGTCTAACCAGGCTAATTTGTAGGAGATGTCTATGGTGTCTGAACCAGGCTAATTTCTAGGAGATGTCTAAGGTGTCTGACCAGGCTAATTTCTAGGAGATGTCTAAGGTGTCTGACCAGGCTAGTTTCAATGAAATGTCTAAGGTGTCTGACCAGGCTGGTTTCTATGAGATTTCTAAGGTGTCTGACCAGGCTAGCTTTTATTAGAGGTCTAAGGTGTCTGACCAGGCTAGTTTCGATGAGATGTCTAAGGTGTCTGACCAGGCTAGTTTCTAGGAGATGTCTAAGGTGTCTGACCAGGCTGGTTTCTAGGAGATGTCTAAGGTGTCTGACCAGGTTAGTTTCTATGAGATGTCTAAGGTGTCTGAACGGGCTAGTTTCTAGAAGAGGTCTAAGGTGTCTGACAAGGCTAGTTTCTAGGAGATTAGGTCTAAGGTGTCTGACCAGGCTAGTTTCGATGAGATGTCTAAGGTGTCTGACCAGGCTAGTTTCTAGGAGATGTCTAAGGTGTCTGACCAGGCTGGTTTTTAGGAGATGTCTAAGGTGTCTGACCAAGTTAGTTTCTATGAGATGTCTAAGGTGTCTGAACGGGCTAGTTTCTAGAAGAGGTCTAAGGTGTCTGACAAGGCTAGTTTCTAGGAGATTTCTAAGGTGTCGTACCAGGCTAGCTTCTATGAGAGGTCTAAGGTGTCTGACCAGGCGAGTTTCTATGAGATATCTAAGGTGTCTGACCAGGCTAATTGCTATGAGATATCTAAGGTGTCTGACCAGGCTAGTTTCTATGAGATGTCTAAGGTGTCTGACCAGGCTAATTGCTATGAGATATCTAAGGTGTCTGACCAGGCTAGTTTCTATGTGATGTCTAAGGTGTCGGACCAGGCTACTTTCTAGAAGAGGTCTAAGGTGTCTGACCAGGCTAGTTTCTATGAGATGTCTAAGGTTTCTGACCAGGCTAATTGCTATGAGATATCTAAGGTGTCTGACAAGGCTAGTTTCTAGGAGATGTCTAAGGTGTCGGACCAGGCTAGTTTCTAGAAAAGGTCTAAGGTGTCTGACCAGGCTAGTTTCTATGAGATGTCTAAGGTTTCTGACCAGGCTAATTGCTATGAGATATCTAAGGTGTCGGACCAGGCTAGTTTCTAGAAAAGGTCTAAGGTGTCTAACCAGGCTAGTTTCTATGAGATGTCTAAGGTGTCTGACCAGGCTAGTTTCCATGAGATTTCTAAGGTGTCTGACCAGGCTAGTTTCTTGGAGATGTCTAAGGTGTCTGACCAGGCTAGTTTCTAGGAGATGTCTAAGGTGTCTGACTAGGATAGTTTCTAGAAGAGTTCTAAGGTGTCGGCCCGCGCTAGTTTCTTGCTCTTACTCAAAGAGTGACTTGCTTAGGGAAATTATAAAAACAAAACAAAAGAAATATTTACTGTTTTTCTTAGATAATTATACAGTAAGATTATTTAATATGTTTTTGATCGTCTTCGAATTTTTTTAATGAAGTGGCTATTCACACCCGGGTCCATTTTGACTAAATGCTATTCGGATGTCGTTTTGGTAGTTTATTTGAGTTAAACTGAAGAATTAAGTTTACAAACATATTGTCCATTCAATTATCTTTCATTTAATACCTAATATTGTCTTAAAAACTCAACAATAATATTTGAAATGTTGTTGTTTTTTAATCCCAACTCTTACTTCTGGTACCCGGGTGCGAATTGTCACAGTCTTTTTTTGAAGTGGAAAATTGAAATATCGCCTGGGTCATTTATTAATTTTTTTTTTTTAAAACTATAAATATGAAAATTTAGTATTTAAAAAAAAAATAGTTTTGATATTTCTTTATTGTTTTACAAATTCTTCTCCTCGGACTCTAGACTTTCTCAGGGGGCTTCACCTAAGTAGAATTATTTGATTTTAAAAAAAATGGTCAAAGGGAAGTCACCCGATAATGACCTTAAAGAAATTTATTATACAAGTTATCCCCCTTAGATTAAATCAAATGTTCTAGAAACCCTTTTTTATAGGGCTGAGCCGGGTAGCAACCCGTATTCCCGGGTAAGGCAAGTGTTAGCACACCCGGCACATACCCGGCACATACCCGGCACATACCCGGCACTCATCGTGTACATCTTCACACATAATAAATGAACAAATTGGATAAAAGGAACGACGTTGAAAATGTTACCTTATGTGTATGCAATTTCCCCAAAAACCTGGGTTGGATGCAAAAAAACTGCAACCGGTTCTGCCCCATGTTTTTCAACGCACAGCGCACCCTATGCCTAATGTGGGCCACCCTATGCCTAATGCGGGCCACCCTATGCCTAATGTGGGCCACCCTATGCCTAATATGGCCCACCCTATGCCTAATGTGGGCCACCCTATGCCTAATGCGGCCCACCCTATGCCTAATGTGGCCCACCCTTTGCCTAATGTGGCCCACCCTATGCCTAATGTGGCCCACCCTTTGCCTAATGTTCACCCTATGCCTAATATGGCCCACCCTATGCCTAATGTGGGCCACCCTATGCCTAATGCGGGCCACCCTATGCCTAATGTGGCCCACCCTTTGCCTAATGTGGCCCACCCTATGCCTAATGTGGCCCACCCTTTGCCTAATGTGGGCCACCCTATGCGTAATGTGGCCCACCCTATGCCTAATGTGGCCCACCCTTTGCCTAATGTGGCCCACCCTTTGCCTAATGTGGCCCACCCTATGCCTAATGTGGCCCACCCTATGCCTAATGTGGCCCACCCTATGCCTAATGTGGCCCACCCTTTGCCTAATGTGGGCCACCCTATGCCTAATGCGGGCCACCCTATGGCTAAAGCGGCCCATCCTATGCCTAATGACTTTCTAAGAATTGTACGGCACAAAGAGCAAGTAAACACATACACTTATGAGAAATTCATATCTAAATTAACATGGGCCATTAGAAATGTTATTCTAAATACCAGAGTGAATCTTGCACTCATAATGCTAGAGGATACGCTATCACAATGAATTGTTTTATATTCAATGTCCGTAGAGAGAAACTTTCTGTTACCACACTGTTAGTTGCCAAGTAATCACCAATAATCTCAGTTTGTTTCCTGATGTGGCAAAGTTGATTCTTGGGATCGTTTCCTTTTATAATTAAGTCATTTTTTTTTTTAAATGAATACTTTAAAGCTTACACTTATGTCAAATAATTAAATTAGTTCATTGAAAGCTTACACTTATGTCAAATAATTACATTAGTTCATTGAAAGCTTACACTTATGTCAAATAATTAAATTAGTTCATTGGAAGCTTACACTTATGTCAAATAATTGCATTAGTTCATTGAAAGCTTACACTTATGTCAAATAATTACATTAGTTCATTGAAAACTTACACTTATGTCAAATAATTACATTAGTTCATTGAAAGCTTACACTTATGTCAAATAATTACATTAGTTCATTCAAAACTTACACTTATGTCAAATAATTATATTAGTTCATTGAAAACTTACACTTATGTCAAATAGTTACAATAGCTCATTGAAAGAGGGATCAGTTGACTTGGGACTCACAAGTTTAAACTTTCGCATATGCTGAGATGATTATGTGATGATTATTTGATGATTATTTGTTGACTTTGTCAGGGCAAATGTTGATAACCTGTATGATAAGGTGAACAATGTCCTTTCGTATCAACACAACTACCACCGCATCGATACACCATCACACACCCTAGGCACACCCAAACTACCACGACACACCATCACACACCCCAGGCATACCACAACCACGGCAACGATACACCATCACACACCCCAGGCACACAACTACCACCTCATTGACACACCATTACACACCCCAGACACACCACTACCACAGCAACGTATCACCATCACACACCTTAGGCCCACCGCTACCACCACAATGACACAGTATTACACACCCCAGACACACCACTACCACCACAACGATACACCATCACACACCCCAGGCACACCACTATCACCACCATGACACACCATTACACAAGCCCGGCACACCACCATCAGACACATCAGGCACACCACCATCACACACCACAAGCACACCACCATCAAACACCACAACAACCACATGACGAAGTCCTTGAAACGTTTCCTCGAATATCTCAACAGGTCCTAACAGAAAACGGGGACGTCAGACGTACACTCGCTACCAGACACTGGAGTTGGAGAAGGAGTTCCACTACAACCGATACCTCACAAGACGCAGGCGTATCGAGATCGCCCACAGCCTCGCTCTGACAGAAAGACAAATCAAAATATGGTTCCAGAACAGACGGATGAAGTGGAAGAAAGAATGCAGACAGCTTCAGCTCATCAACGGAGACTGCGCCATGGAGGATGCATGTTGATGGTGGGGCGCCGGGGGGGAGGGTTAAAGGGGGCGAAGTGTGGCAGGCAGTGGCGTAGGAAAGGGTGGAATTTTTGGTTAAATGATAATCCTGTCCGGCACGGGCTACACCATCCTTAGTTCCCACCGGCCGCGGGCAAACGTTACCTGAGTTACGTCCCTTGGATCAAGTCTTGATGATTCATTTGTCTACTAGTCCCTGGGATCAAGTGATGACTCATTGGTCTACTAGTGTTGCTCTCCCTTTGAATGTAATGAAAAATGATTGCCTGAAAAGTTCAATTTTTTCTTTAAAAGTTTCTATTAACTTTCTCTGTGGGGCCTTACCTAAGAAGATCACCAGTGGGGGCTCACATAAGAAGATCACAAGTAAGGCCTCACCTAAGAAGATCACACGTAGTGCCTCATCTAAGAAGATCACAAGTGGGGCCGCACATAAGAAGATCACAAGTGGGGCCTCACCAAGGTAGATCACAAGTGGGGCCTCACCTAAGAAGATCACAAGTAAAATTATTTGAATTAACAGGTCAAAGGGAAATCAAACCAATGGTTTATTAACTGAATAACTAGTGAAACAAGAAATGTGTAGGTGATTAATTGAATGAATAAATCATTATTTGAATGTGTTATTTTGGCCAAATGTTTCAACCACTGGTTCGACTCCAAACATGTTGTACATTTTTTTTTCCTTTACTTATTTTCTTAAAAAATCTTTTTAAAAAACACTCGGACAATCGAAATGTAAAAGACATGCTTAATATATAATCAGAGCCGTCGCATGGGGCCTGCAACCCAACAGCAGAAGGTGACTTTCGAAATGTAAGTGTTGATGTGGACAGGGGGCTCTTAATGTCACGCGACGCCCCTGGATATTAAGACGTAATAATAAATAAATATTTAATTTAAAATTCAACAACTAAGTTAAAGCAGAAAACTGGTCGCGTGGTGAAGACATCACAGTTTCAATAGTGAAAAACAAATTCATTCAAGAGACATTGAAGTAAAGTATATTTGTTCATATTAACTGAACTTGAGTGCAAGTTTGAATTTAGAGGTAAGTTGAATGTTAGAGTGATATTGTAGGATTTTATGAAATTACAAAAAAAAAATAAAAGAAGGGGGGGGGACTACTAAAAGAAATCCAGGCGTCTCAAAGTCAACTTAAGGTCAAATTAAAGTCGATTGCACTAAGATTGTGGTCACATTAGAAAAGTTCACTTGTTGAGGGTTGAGTGTTAAGTTGGTTCAAGTAGTAGCAGATGACAATGTCAGAAAGAAGATAGAATCATCGTTTGTGTCATCATGGTGTCTCACACCAAACTATTGTGTCATCATGGCGCATCACACCAAACTATTGTGTCATCACGGCGCCTCACACCCAAATATTCTGTAAAGATGGCACCTTACAGAAAACTATTGTGTCATCATGGCGCCTCACACCAAACTATTGTGTCATCATGGCACCTCACACCAAACTATTATGTAAAGATGGCGCCTCACACCAAACTATTGTGTCATCATGGCGCCTCACACCAAACTATTGTGTCATCATGGCACCTAACACCAAACTATTCTGTAAAGATGGCGCCTTACAGAAAACTATTGTGTCATCATGGCGCCTCACACCAAACTCTTGTGTCATCATGGCACCTCACACCAAACTATTCTGTAAAGATGGCACCCCACAGAAAACCATTGTGTCATCATGGTGCCTCACACCAAACTATTGTGTCATCATGGCGCCTCACACCAAACTATTGTGTCATCATAGCACCTCACACCAAACTATTCTGTAAAGATGGCGCCTTACAGAAAACTATTGTGTAATGATGGTATCTCACACCAAACTATTGTGTAATGATGGTGCCTCACACCAAACTATTGTGTAATGATGGTGCCTCACACCAAACTATTGTGTAATGATGGTGCGTAACACCAAACTATTGTGTAAAGATGGCGCATCACAGAAAACTATTGTGTAATGATGGTGCCTCACACCAAACTATTGTGTCATCATGGCGCCTCACACCAAACTATTGTGTCATCATGGCACCTCACACCAAACTATTCTGTAAAGATGGCGCCTTACAGAAAAAAACTATTGTGTAATGATGGTGCCTCACACCAAACTATTGTGTCATCATGGCGCCTCACACCAAACTATTGTGTCATCATGGCACCTCACACCAAACTATTCTGTAAAGATGGCGCCTTACAGAAAACTATTGTGTCATCATGGCGCCTCACACCAAACTATTGTGTAATGATGGTGACTCACACCAAACTATTGTGTAATGATGGTACCTCACACCAAACTATGGTGTAATGATGGTGCCTCACACCAAACTATTGTGTAATGATGGTGCCTCACACCAAACTATTGTGTAATGATGGTGCCTCACACCAAACAATTGTGTAAAGATGGTACCTCACACCAAACTATTGTGTAATGATGGTGCCTCACACCAAACTATTGTGTAATGATGGTGCCTCACACCAAACTATTGTGTAATGATGGTGCCTCACACCAAACTATTTTGTAATGATGGTGCCTCAAACCAAACTATTGTGTAATGATGGTGCCTCACACCAAACTATTGTGTAATGATGGTGCCTCACACCAAACTATTGTATAATGATGGTACCTCACACCAAACTATTGTGTAATGATGGTGCCTCACACCAAACTATTGTGTAATGATGGTGCCTCACACCAAACTATTGTGTAATGATGGTGCCTCAGACCAAACTATTTTGTAATTATGGTACCTCACACCAAACTATTGTGTAATGATGGTGTCTCACACCAAACTATTGTGTAATGATGGTACGTCACACAAAACTATTGTGTAATGATGGTGCCTCACACCAAACTATTGTGTAATGATGGTGCCTCACACCAAACTATTGTGTAATGATGGTGCCTCACACAAAACTATTTTGTTATGATGGTACCTCACACCAAACTATTGTGTAATGATGTTGCTTCACACCAAACTATTGTGTAATGATGGTGCCTCACACCAAACTATTGTGTAATGATGGTACGTCACACAAAACTATTGTGTAATGATGGTGCCTAACACCAAACTATTGTGTAATGATGGTGCCTCACACCAAACTATTGTGTAATGATGGTGCCTCACACAAAACTATTTTGTTATGATAGTACCTCACACCAAACTATTGTGTAATGATGGTGCTTCACACCATACTATTGTTTAATGATGGTACCTCACACCAAACTATTGTGTAATGATGGTGTCTCACACAAAACTATTGTGTAATGATGGTGCCTCACACAAAACTATTGTGTAATGATGGTGCCTCACACCAAACTATTGTTTAATGATGGTGCCTCACACCAAACTATTGTTTAATGATGGTGCCTCACACCAAACTATTGTGTAATGATTTTCCTCACACAAAACTATTGTGTAATGATGGTGCCTCACACAAAACTATTGTTTAATGATTGTGCCTCACACCAAACTATTGTTTAATGATGGTGTGTCACACCAATTTATTGTGTAATGATGGTGCCTCACACCAAACTATTGTTTAATGATGGTGCCTCACACAAAACTATTGTGTAATGATGGTGCCTCACACAAAACTATTGTGTAATGATGGTGCCTCACACCAAACTATTGTTTTATGATGGTGCCTCACACAAAACTATTTTGTTATGATGGTGCCTCACACCAAACTATTGTGTAATGATGGTGCCTCACACCAAACTATTGTTTAATGATGGTGCCTCACACCAAACTATTGTGTATTGATGGTACCTCACACCAAACTATTGTGTAATGATGGTGCCTCACACCAAACTATTGTGTAATGATGGTGCCTCACACCAAACTATTGTGTAATGATGGTGCCTAACACCAAACTATTGTGTATTGATGGTACCTCACACCAAACTATTGTGTAATGATGGTGCCTCACAACAAACTATTGTGTAATGATGGTGCCTCACACCAAACTATTGTGTAATGATGGTGCCTCACACAAAACTATTGTGTAATGATGGTGCCTCACACCAAACTATTGTGTAATAATGGTGCCTCACACCAAACTATTGTGTAATGATGGTGCCTCACACCAAACTATTGTGTAATGATGGTACCTCACACCAAACTATTGTGTAATGATGGTGCCTCACACCAAACTATTGTGTAATGATGGTGCCTCACACCAAACTATTGTGTAATGATGGTACCTCACACCAAACTATTGTGTAATGATGGTGCCTCACACCAAACTATTGTGTAATGATGGTACCTCACACCAAACTATTGTGTAATGATGGTACGTCACACCAAACTATTGTGTAATGATGGTGCCTCACACTAAACTATTGTGTAATGATGGTGCCTCACAGCAAACTATTGTGTAAAGATGATGCCTCACACAAAACTATTTTGTTATGATGGGGCCTCACACCAAACTATTGTGTAAAGATGGGGCATTTTTAATTAGCCTAGGAGCTGAGTTTTGAGATTTTTGTAATTTTTCACTGACGTATTTTGGTGAACCTGATAGATGAGGGTTACAATAGCCAAGAGCCAAGATGAGAGAGAACTTGAGCACAGACTAGGATTTTTATTGCACTAACAGTGAGGTATTAGCGGATGGAGATGATCTGACGAATGGCCATGTATGCAGAGCGACAAATGTGAGAGATATGATTATCGAGAAATATGTTGTACTGTTAGAAAGCATATAACCAAGATTCCTAGCGGAGAATCTAAACTGTATGTCGGAGTTACCTACATGAAAGGAAGTGGGGAGAGCTGAGTCAGAGGATGATTTGTGATCGTGAATAAGTAGTGTTTCCGTTCTGTCATCGTGAACCTTCAACTTGCTGAGTGTCATCCATGTCTTGACATCATCAATGCTCTCCCGCAAAGTAAGGATATCAGAATCGACAAGAGAGGGATGGGTATGCTTGTACAGCTGCGTGTCATCTGCGAATGTCTGGCTCTCCACAGCATGCCTACCAAGCAAGAGTAGCAGTGGCCTGCTATACATTGTGAATCCCGAACTGCCGGAAAGACAGCTATCGACAGCAATCGCCTGCGTTCTATCTGAGAGGTAGGACCTAAACCAAGCCAAAACTGATCCCGAAATTCCAAAGTAATTATCAAGGGTTTTGTAAAGGGTTTCATATCTGATTAGCACCTCACAATATCTGGTACAGCACCTTATCATATTTGGTACAGCACATCATCATTTCTGATAAAGACCCTCACAAAATCTGGTACAGCACCTCTCATCATCTGGTACAGCACCTTATCATATTTGGTACAGCACATCATCATATCTGATAAAGACCCTCTCATCATCTGGTACATCACCTCTCATCATCTGGTACAGCACCTCTCATCATCTGGTACAGCACCTCTCATCATCTGGCACAGCACCTCTCATCATCTGATACAGCACCTCTCATCACCTGGTACAGCACCTCTCATCATCCGG